GAGACTGATAACAGTTGTAAAACCCTTTATAGTGAAAATCATACAATAAATTGTAATAATTAGTTTCAATATGGATTTTCAACAAACATCGGCCAGATCTATTCAATTATAAATTTTTTCGTTTGTTTTATTATTCTCAGTATTTTTTTCAAAATGTATGTTACATTGTCCCTAGGATAAACATGGAATGTTTTTTGGGATCAATAAAAAATTCATTATATATGAATGGATGATGGATTATTGAATGGATTCAAAAATTGTATATTTCATACAACAGGCAGTCAAGATACTCATCAGAGAGATTTGTTCTTTCGAATTTGACATGTAATTCACATTAAAGTCACCAGATGTCACTACAAGTTGTAATCTGCTAGCAAATTCATTTTAAAGTGATCCAAAGTTTGTTAAAAAAGTTTCATAAATGCCTTCATCACATCTGTAAAGTCCTGCGACTAGTATGTCTTCAATTTGTATCACACAGAGTTCTGCACCTATCTTCCTAAAATATTTACTTACATCGATAAGTGGGAGTCTCCTACTTTAGCGAAGGGAATCGAGGCTCCGAATTAATGAGAAGTTAATCACTGTTTTGTAACAAAAATATTTCATTATTTACTATTACATTGCAATTACTGATCCTAATAACACACTCTGGTGAAACGGTTCTAACTATCTGATTCCAATTCTTCATTGAACTGAGATGATACCCAGGCGAGCCCCCATTTCAGGTTGGTTAACATGAACTTGAGGGCCTTAGTCCACTGCTCCTCGGAATTCAACTGTATCCTGAAATGATAATATTAATAATAATCCTTTCTGAAATCCAAAATGCACCAACTTGATAGAGTAACTGGCATCTTTATCTTCGATTTTTCCCTTACTGGTGGTTCTGTACGGAAAACAAAAAGCTTTTTCTCCCTTTTCGAGTTTTTCCACCTTCTCCTGGAATTGTTGGACACAATCTAAAAATGCCACCATGCCGCTGTCGAACTTGGTGTCCCACAAAAATTTGAAGCCTCCAGAACAATACAAAGGAAGTTCTTTTTCATCCTCAAGAACCTAAAATTCAAAAGTGAGAGAATTAAACATTGAAAATAATGTTTTTATAAAATAGCACTCACAATAATATGCGAATGATTGCCGAATGGCACTAGTCTGTAACGCTCGAACGTGAGATTGATTTTTCTTGCTAGAGCTGAAAGAAGTAAAGCAGTTTGGCCCCAAGCTGCATTTATTTCAGACCAGTCCACAGGAGCCGAAGGAAGACGACCTAATCGAAAATTGTTGATAGTTCCAAAGTGACCTTTATGCCATATATGGAAAGTCGCATTGAAAACATTTTTCCTCTGCAATTTATCAAGCTGAACAGTCATGTAATTCAACTGGCATTCCAAACTGAAAATGAATTATCAGAAATGTACTCCAAAATATCAACATATGAAAAATTAGTGAAGATGTTTGAGACGTATCTATTTGATTGCAAGCAGTATGTTGGAAACAAAAGATGTCTTTCTCCTATCATCAGACCTACATATGAAGTCCCTCAAGGACTTTGTCAATTTTCCTTTTCACAAATCTGCCAAAACATACGCAGTAATAATTTAAAGAAAATTTTACTCGTTTATATTCGACTATAAAATAGAATCAACCTTACTAAGCAGATGCTGATCATGTGGGAGAAACTGTATCACTAACTAACAAAATGCCCGGTTTCTCAATGAAATATAGGGTTGATCTCTATACATACACTGGCCAACAAAAATTGTTTGATATGTAAGGACTGTTTAGAAATATGCTAAACTGTTGAAGAATTAGAAGTGATCAATGAAGAACTCCAGATCTAAAAATATTCCCATTATAACAGATTTACCTTCTCCCTTCGTCTTCAAGAACCATAAAGTCCCTTCTCTGTCTGGTATATTCTCTCCAATATTTGTCTTCCTCTTCGGAAATTTTTTCAGCTATTTTCTCTTGCTCCTCAATGGCTTTCAACGTTTCAGCTTCTTCTTTTTGGAGAGCATGCAATTCGTCCAATAACCTCGTCTCTTCAGCTTTCAGATCCCCTAATTCTTTTTCTAAATACTCAATATTAGGTTCATTATCTGCTTCAGACTTCAATCTGAAAAAAGTAATTTGGTGAATCACTGTTACTGAAGTGACAATATCATTTACTTTCGTAAATATGCGTTGTAATCTCTGTAGTCCTCTTGAGCTGCTTTCAGTTGTGATTCTAATATATCTGTTAAACTATCTGCACATGAATCACAGAGCGGATGATCAATATCAGACTGTCCTGAGAGGGTTTCAAAAAGTTCTGCCTGAACCTGTTGAACAAATTGTTAAGTCAAATATACTTTATTGCCCGAAACTTAAAACATGTAAAAAAGACAATTGAAATATACATAATAAATTAATATACATCCTCTAACAAGAAGAATATGAAATTTAAATTGAATCAAATTCATAAATTCATTCAAAAAATGAAAGCATCACCCTATATTATAAAAATCATCAACTTCGTAGGAAACAAAAAATAAAGACCTCTTGGTTCCTCACCTTAAAATGTTGACTTAGTAAATCAACTTCTTTGTCATTTGATATAAGCATAAAGCCATTTGCTCCATTGCCAGAGTCAGAGAATCTACAAGGAGGTACATAATGATCAAAACTTGTGGCCTGTGATTCCAAATCGACGTCCGGATTTGAGTGTATGGGTACTATAATCAAATATTATTAATAAGTAAAAAAAAAACAGAAAGAAATTCACTCACGATTCAACTCTGCTTGAATGTGTTCACTGAAAGAATTTAAAGAATCATCTAGTTTCAGCGCTTGGGAACATCTTTGGCAAGTATACGAAACTAATTCTTTACCTTCTGCCATCAGAGATAATTTAGTGTTGAGTATGTTTATAAGACCTTTCTCTTCTCTTAGAGAAGTTCTCTATTATACAAACACAAACAGACTGAATACTACCTTTACCTTTGCGCATATAAACAAAAAACATATGATGATTGATGATATCACAGAATAGTAATATTCTGTGATGATACCATACAGTGAGTATAGTTTTTTGCGAGTCAACCATTCGTAACCGTAGTTCACAGTACCGGTGATATAGGGTTCCTCGGAAATGTTTGATTTACTTCCGCAAGTTATAATTGGAAAATAAATATATATTGATGACAAACATTGTCACTTCTATTACAAATTAATTCGTTGTTGGATATACCTTCAAGATATCTGATGAAAAGTCAGACGAAATGGAGTGGTTTAAGTTTGATGATAGTCGTGTCACAAAATATTCTGGCGATATCTTGAATTTATTGGAACCTTTGGAGACACCCTACATTTGATTCTATGGGAGAGAAAATATTGGCAGATCAAGATCTTCAGATGATGTGGTATTGCAGGTTTTTCCAGGTATTCTTGCAGTTGAAAAAGCAAATGCGCCACTGGAATCAATTAAGTCGTCCCGGAGGGTCATAATATTCATTATTGTCGTTTCATAAATCACAATATTTCATTTATAAATATACTATATACTGTATAAATTTCGAATTGATAAAAAAGATTTATTTTACAGCATTGTATATAGTAATCATTTCGTGAAATTTTTAGTTTTATTGAAGAATCAGACGACCTTCTCATTGAAATCCTAATCTTTGAATATATTGAAGTAGAAAGTACATACTTATTAGTTTCGTGATCCTTATGGAAAACTTTGATCAACTTTATCCAAAGACTAGGTTAGGTGGACTACTTGTTATTCGCTTAAAATTGCCTGAAACAAAGAAGAAACTATAATTCGGAATAAGAAGAAGCAGAATTTAGTGATTGTAGGTTATGACAAACTGTCATCTGATCAACTTTTCTTACATAATTTAAAATGTCAGAAAAAAATCCTGAAATAAGGCCTTATAAATATTTCGACACTCCCGATGGTCATGATGTTTTTAAGAAATACTTATGTCTCCTGAAACCGGCGGGTCAAGTCACCGCGGCAGCAGGTATCTTCGATGTCGTCGCCTGGTCCCATCCAAAAGGATATTTGCCTATCTTGGGCCGTTTCGTTTATGTAGGAACTCCCATTATTGGAGCTACCACGGCCTTCGTCTTTACGACAAACGGTCTTGCGAGTCTGCGTAACAAAGATGACAAGCTGAATTGGTTTTTGGGAGGCTTCGCAGCTGGTGCTCTCGTGGGGGCTTGGCGAGGCAAGACCATGTTTGGGTTTAATTTGGGGATGCTGTTCGGGCTGATGGCGGTGGTGAGAAAGTACTCCGAGGATAGAGGGTGGCAATTTTCACCACCGAATGGTGTTCCAATCATGAATCAAGGAATTTGGCAGTATGATTTTTCTCTCTTCAAGGAAAGACCTCGTACCTGGACCACTGGCAAAGATTAATTTTTCATTGATGTAGTGTGAGAGACGATTTGTAAATGAGAGCTGTCAATAAACATTTGGCGATTTTGAAAATGTTTGTTTGTGTGGTTCCTGAAACCAAATGTAGGTAGTAATTAAATTTTTTCTTATGAAATGGTGTTTAATTTTTTTCATTAGTTTAAATACATTTTCAGTCAATTTCTGAATTATTTGTGCTTAGCATTCAAGATTCAAATTTAAAGTATATAATTCATGATATTCATAAATTAAAAAAGTGAGGAATGACTAAGAAACCCACATTCGTAACTACCTGGCTATCTCTTTACTTCTACCGAGTAGAATGCTTTATCGAGAAGATAGTTTTCTGAAATTGAGTACTGAATCCGTTTAGAAAAGAGGGCAAGCTTTTTATATAAAAATGTACTAATTTAGTAAGATGACTTTTCATACCCACAAGTTAATAGTTTTTCTCTAAAACTGAACATGTACATTACTGTCTGACTTCTCTTGGTATTGAACATTTTATGGTGTCCATTTTTATGATTTATTTCAAAGATCCACCTGACAAGCCATTTTGCAAGGTAAATATGAGAACTTTTATGTGTTTAAGTCAAAATACAATACCAGTAATATATAATTCTCTCTTCCGTTTAATGCTCAAATATGATATCCTAAGCTGGAGTAGAGCATTAAATACTGATCTAGACAAAGTATTTACTGTAAATTACTCAGTATCTTGTTTCCTGAAAAAAAATTTTCTACATAAAGATGGTTGTAAGTTTGGACGATTCTTTCACTACGACCCTTATGCTAATAGAAATAACTAGTACAACGAGAATTTCACTCATCTTTTTGATCATATTTCTCAATGAAGTGAGTCACAATACTTGCAACATAGCTGATTACATCATTAAGTTCAATCATATCTCATCTGTAGTCATAATTCAGAAATTCTTGAAAAATGTATGTCGACAAATCGTGATTGTTGATATTGAAGTTAAGATTTTTAGGTGGTTCTTTTAGACACTGGACTCGCTGCGAATGTTTCATTTTCATTGATAATAAGATGGTTTGGAAAATTCCTTTACAGATAATTCTATAAATTTAATAATCACCATTGATCTTCTACCAGACACATCAAAAGTAAATTGAAACTCAGTTCAAAACAGTAACTTTTTTTATTCATTAAATTTCAATGTATTATATTTTAGGTAAAACAATTAAATAACTAGATTAACGAAACAAGAAAAATGCAACGACTAGGTAAAATTAGCAAATATAAAGATTAACTGGATGAATCACAAAAAACAGTCAATAAACAAGCAGTGCCATCCATTTTGTAGAAGGTGCAGGCTAACAGATAACTATGAAAACCTAACAACTCGTTCTGTATAAATGTAACTGAGGCAAATACTCAAGTGTCAAACACAAATATCACAATTAATGCTTCAAAATAATAATTGAGACGATAACTACAGAATTTATTTAGATATTTGAGATTAGAATTATCATTTCTTTATGTTGTATTTTTTAAAACTATTATATTACTCGTAACAAAATCTGCCCAATAAATATTTCAATTCATTCTATTTTCCTCGTTTACGTTGTTGATATTGTTGCTTTGGGTCGGTTCCACGACTTCAATATCTTCTTCTTCTTCTTCGTCAGTCACATATTCTATAATCTCCTCCACTTCATCTTCTTCTGCTTCCTGAAGAGGTTTCCATAAAAAATAAGCCAGAATTTCATGAAAAAAGTTGAAATTTACAAGATATAAACCAGAATTTTCGAGATGAAAAGTAAAATGTTATTTAAATTGTGAAACAACTCACTTCAGATACCTCATCTTCATCGTCTCTCAAGCCATTTTTTGCACCATTGTGGATCCCTCCGTTCATCTTCTCACCATTTGCAATCACTTCTGCTGTGTCACCGCTCCTCTCCGCGTTTCTTATCACTTCATCTACTTCTTCGTCACTCTCTTCATATTCGTATTCTACCTCCTCCTCTTCATCGTCTACTTCCTCCTCATCATCACCAGCATTTACCTTTTCCTCAGAGACTTGAGCCCGAGACTCACTCGGTAAACCCACTGTGCAGTTTAGTTCAGTCGAAGCAAGCTCCAATGAAGGTTTCCCCACGTTCTCTGGTTCTTCCACAGCTTCAGTAACATTCTCAGTCAATTTATCTACTGAACCATCTTTATTTGAATATTGTTCCAGAAGAGTATCCACCAATTTTTCTGATTCTACTACAGTCTCAGGATTTTTCATAGCGACTTTGGTTTCACTCTCAGTCAATAATTCGTCCACTGTACCATTTTCTTTACTTGAAGAAACAGGCAGAAGTGATTTTTCCACTTTTTCAGGCTTTAACTCAGTATCATGCTTCTCCTTGGTGACTGTGGTTTCTTCCTCAGCCAATGAGTTCTTTGATGCTCCGTTTACTCTAATTGAGGAATCTTCAAGAAGAGGCTGTTGCAATTCATCAACTATTCCTGGTTCTTTCACTGTTTCATCAACCTCCTCAGGCGCTTCAGGTTCAGATAACTCCAGTTTTTCTATCGTACCACTTTCTGTATTCAAGGCAGATTCCACTCTGACATCGTTTACAGGCTCATTCATTTCTGATTCCTCCAAAATTATGGCTTCTTTCTTTTCCACCTCACCAATCTCTTGCTCAAAGTCCTTGGTCATTGGTGCAGAACCTTCATCTTTCTCAACTTGCTTCTGTTCCAGCTCAGCAAATTCTTCTTTGAGTACGGATTCAAGTCCATTATCTTTGTTTGCTTCAGTAACCTCGGCATGTATGATATCCTCAAGTATATTTCCTTCAGGTTTGCTGACTTCCTCAGGAGAAAGCTGTTCTTCAGTTACTGCATCTTCTTCAAATTTGTTGTCTACCTTTTTCTCAGGATGACTCACCTCCCCAGAAGGGAGCTGCTCTTCAGTTTCTGTATCTTCTTTCTGGAAACTGCCAGTTGCAACACCCTGCATGGCTTTTTCTTCTAGAGATTGATTCATGATGTCAAGCGAATTTTCCTTGGCCAGTTGAAGCCTTTCCTCAACCAGAAAATCATCAATTTGTGGCGATGCTTCATTTTCCACTAGCTGAACATCTCCAGCTGGTTCAATAATTTCTTGAACCTTTTCTCCAAAGTTTTCGGTGATGTCTACTACATCTTCCCGGTCTTCATGCAATTCCTTCCTGATTTCATCTAACAGACTTTGGTCCAGACCGATCTGTTTCGCTTTATCGATTATATCATCAATTTCCTCCTCCAATAGGGGATCGGCTTCGATTTTTTCGAATTCTTCGGACACGTTGCTGCTGCTCCTTTCTTCGTACTTTCTACCGGAATTCGACGACTCGTCAGTCCCGTTTTCTAAAAAAAAAGAGTGGGTAGTTTTGTATTGAGACGAGCTACTTCGAATTTATTCTAGAATAAACGTACACAACATGTTTCTGAGGTGTGGTTGTCTTTTTTTGTATGACAATTGGCGTGTTTCAAAGTTTTTGCTCAGTCGTGAAATTATTGTAAGGGAGGGGTGGGTATTAGCGATTAATGGGGTTGACTCAGCATGTGAATCGGGGTAATGACAGATACTGTTAAGTTACGGTTAAGCTATTTCACAAACTGTAACATACCTTCTTCGAAAAGCTTGATGATAGCCTGTATCGAAACTGAGACACGTCAAAACTTTGGAAGGTTATGGATAGAGACATTTTTAAAGAAAAAAACTTGTATTTTTAGAAAATATATTGAACAAGTAACAGCATAACACAAATAACAGAAAGATTACAAGTGAAAGTTTCTCATTGGTTCATTTATTCTAGAAAAAATCCTTTGGTTGTATAAAGAACAGATAACATTCAAAACGCCATCGAAACGAAAATTCAACTGACAAAGTTTGTAATTGTTCAATTTTCCCAACAGTTACAATAATTCAAGGCTTTTTCATGTACTTACCAGAGGAATCGAGACTGATAACAGACAGCGTCATTTTTCCAGCAAGTACAACAGCAGGGTCTTCTTCCGAGTTGATGTTCTGTGCTTCAGTAGCGGAATCAGTCACCAGTAGGTGTGATTGAGGCGGTAGAGCTCCTTCCAAGAATATTTCCTTAAAAATATACCAAAGTAACAATTGATTATTCTTTAGTTTTTTTGTTACATCTGATAACTAAAGATAGATGCCTATTCAAAACAACCGCAGGTGATATCACGCATACCAACCAGCCCCAGCAAGAAAAATCTAAAACGTATTACCGTTTCTTCACTGATATCCTTACCTGTGGTGGTTCTGCTGAATCCGAAACAGGAGGCTGAGCTGCAGGTAACACTGGAGATTCTGGTCTGGACCATCTTTTACCGCCTTCACAACTAGCTCTCATTTCCATTCCAACGACTTTAACGGATGCTTGATCTTCGTCTTGACTCAAAACGCCCCCGTTAGCCACTACATCCTGTACAAAAATGTCAATATGTCATTGAATTAAAGTCTGAAGTTGTTGGGTACCGTTTGGTCAGAACCTTTTGAACAATGGTAGAAAACAAAAACTCAAAGCGTGCGGGCAGAATTAAATTTCAACAATGAGTAACATCTGCTCTAAGCAAATAAAGATGTTTTCAAGATAATCTGTTGGGATATTGGGTGAGCTAGCATGCAAAAAAAGAAACACATTTCTCGATGTTTGAAGATGATTTTTCTCTAAACTCCACACAAATGAATGAAAACCGTTTTTTTTTATGTAAAACACTGAATGCAAGAGAAAACTATTTTTCTAATTCACATTAAATATAGCGAATATTTTTCGGATATATTTTCCAACTGCATACTTTAGAGAAACTGGTACAATTTATAGTGCTGAAGAGTCTGAGGGTGGGCCATTGAAAACTTGACATGGAGGTTTTGGGTACTAATCTTGCAAATCCTAAAAAAACGCTCAGGAGGAACAGTTTTTTCTCATTCACAGCGTCGTCACTTCAACCTCGGAGTAGAGGGGTGAACAACCCTTGGAATTTTAATAGGGAATAGGGGGCGAGTCGCACATCGTTTAAAAGATCTTGGAATTCTCTAAACAATGGTGTACATTTTTTAAAATTTGGACGTATTTAAAAGAGTTCCTTTTGATAACCATTTCAATATTGTTAACAGCAACAAATTGTTTTTCGCCACTGCTCAGTTGGAATGTATTTGGAACTCTTTCATTTGTTTCTTATGCCACTTTTTTGTTAAATTTTTTAGTTCTTCTTTGATAAGAGGACTATTACAATTGAGAAATGGTTGAAAATGCTGCTTCTATTTCTCATTTTTATGTTATCTACATTATTACTAGTAGTGAGTGCCGTAAAGTGTTGCTGAAGAAACAACGGTTTACACAACTGCAGAGAGGTATGAGTTGATTGAACTTTACTATGTTTTCGATTTAATTGCTAAATTTCGCGCAACTGGATCTGCAGCAAATAAAAAACGGCAAGTCGAACCACCAGTAACAAAAGAGACGACACAAGTGGCAATTCTGGACCATGTTGAGCTTGACCATACTTGCACAAGAAAGCTAGCATTCGGCGTATTTCAAAAACCCACAAAATGCATCCTTACAAGATTGAATTAACGCAAGAACTGAATGAAGAAGATTTCGATCGACGCTTGCAATTTTGCGAGTTGGTTAGTGAACGAGCGGTGGAAAATCCACATTTTGTTTTCAACATTTGCTTCAGTGATGAATGAAAATCATAAAAGGTACTAAATTCTAAGAAGTATCTTCCAAGAGACATTCATAAAAAAAATTTAAAGTTATATTAAGAATATTTTTCCATACACTAAAATCCCTACATTCTAAATAATTCTGATTGAAGAAGAACCTTTTACAAAATATTGTATAGATGAAACATTGATCTTTGCTTTCGGAAACAAAATTGATGGTCGTTTAAGATGTTGAAGCAAACATTTGAAATCCTGTTGATTAACAACAGATTTTTCGGTACAACTGATAGTAAAACAACAGGTCTATATGTTTTGCCCTTTTTAGATATAGGATGGTCTTGAGCAGTCTTCTAACAAAAAAGAAAAACCCTTTTTTGTGAGACAAGTCGAAGGGTCTACAGATCACTGATGCAAATTGATTGGAGGGATGTATCTGTCCAGAAAAATATTTTCCATTGTGGCGCCATCTATGAAATACTTTAAACAATAATTCAAGACTCTTTATCAGATATCCATGGTGAAGTTTCGAGCAAAACCCTCTGTATGGGTATTAAAAATCGCAATCTACCATGAAAACTAAAACAGCGTCTACTCTAGGCATGGCAGTTAAATCAAATAACACATACATAACCAACGACTAATTAGGGACTCGAGTTGTTAAATCAACACGGATTGGCCACGATACCGTTACCTGATCAGTACCCCCGCTAGTCTTACGGCGAGAAGAGAGCTCTTCATCAACCTCGTCCAACAGTGCTGACATCGCATTAACAACTACGAAGAGAGAATGTGAACACTAGACTTCTTTTACGACAGAATGGTATGGAATACAGGTACGAGATACATGGTGTAAATTTTTTAGCATTGATGGTAAGTCATCTTGTACGGTTTTCCCTCTATATTAAAGATTATTTGACATATCAGGAAACTGCAGGGTTTTCAATCGAGCAAAAATTTATCATCTATGTATTTGATAAACAAATTTTTGAAAAAAAAAAAAAAAATACATTGAATGAAGACCATTTTGTTCGATAACTTCATTTTCTTATTATATCCTGACGAATACTTCATAACCCTAGAATATGAAGTCAATTTTCTTCACCTACTACAAAATGGCGGAACATTTAATCATTTCCTGAAGACAAACACATTAATGTCGATATTTCTAGAAATATTCCTTTTTATCTGCTATATGGCGATTCTANTTGAAGATATTGACATTATATTCTAGGTTTGTGAAGCATTCGTCAGTAGCTTCAAAAAATGTGTCACAAGACCCCCCTTTCCATTATTTTTTTTTCCCAGATTGCGCCCAGTCGTCATCTTGAAAATTTCATCTGTCAATTTAACTTCAAAATAAAGTATTCATGCATTAATTTCATTATCCCAAATTTCAATTTTTCGAGTTGACCCATTCAAAACATAAAAGGGGGGGGCATTAAAAAAAGTAATGTATACACATATATACAAAATGAGTTTATACCTATCTACCATGTCTATTGTGATTTCTGAACATTTTACCCCTTCAATAAGAATGTTGTTCTTTCGACAATAAAGTATACCTTGATTGATTTATTTCTGTTAACCCGAGTAACAATATTCGACCTGAAAATATAAAAATGTGAATGCTGATGAAATAAATCAATTGGCATATTGTTATTGATTGATCGTTATTCACAGCGACCCTTCATATGAATTCCATAATGTAAATAAGTTATTCTTAATTTGAATCTACTGTACTATGTCCATTAATCTATATACCTTAATAGCGATATTTTCCAAATTGATGAAGATGAATAATACAAAAAATATATTTCGCAGTTAATTGTATAATAAACTAATCATGTTTGGTTTACACTGATTATCTTACCAACCATTCTTTGGTTTCCCGATTTGCATATTTATTCTTCAATAAATATATTTATTGAAAAATACATAATATTTGGTAGTTTGTATATTAAAATTTTTTGTTGTGTATAATTTTCAAAACCCATTTTTGTCTCACATGGTTAAGAGATAATGTTAATGTGATATAATAATAATATGTTTAGTACTTGATTTTTTCAGGTACCTACATGAATTCGAGAAAATAAAAGCAACTTTTTCTTTACCATCATTTTTAGCACAAAACAGCCTCGAGTCAGATTTAAATATTTCACTTTTTTCTTCATTGGAGAAAGAAAATTAGTCTGCGAAAGGATGATTGAGAAAAAGAATTTGCAGATGAAGATACAATTTGTTGTATATGCAGTGAAATATATATTTTATTGGCTTTGGATCAAATAAAATTCATGAATTTTCATTTTATCCTTTGTTGTTCTCACATTTCATGATTTAACACCATTTTCAAGTCATTTTATTGGTAGAGGATGTACGAAAAAGGTTTGCATGTACTTCAAAATATCATTAGTTTCTGTCAAATAATTGACAGCCGAATAATTCACTATAACTATCTTTTGCAACATGTTTATTTGAAGAAAAAACTCAAAATTTGGTACAACTCACTCTGAAAGAGAAACATTTCAATTTGTGTTTGTTCAAATTACATTTCAATTTGGCTTTATATGGACAATAAGGACAACCGAATTGTGGTTCTTTCTGACATTCGTATCGCTGATGTTGTTTCAAGTTTTTCTGATTCTTGTACTTTCGTCCACATACCTCACACTCGATTCCTGAAATAGTGAACTTGTTGATAAATTTTAAAACACTTTCAAATATAGCACGTGCAGTTCATATAATTAATATATTCATTTTCGAAAGATACTGTTAACTTTGGATGCAAAATATCTCACTTAAGTTTCAAAGAACGTGATATGACAAAAAAACTTGACTGGTAGTGAACGAATTCAAAGAGGAAAAATATATTAGGTACCTAATATTTGAAAAATAACATTTTGAAACATTGATTGTTCAATACAGAAGGGATGATCTGAGACCATTAGAAAAGTTCCTCTATTTCAGTTGCCATAAATACTGGAATATATCCATGATAATAATTATACAATTTTTCAAATACATTATTTTGCTCAAGACGATTAGCCATGTAGTCGTCACGGTAGCCTCTTCAGTTAGACTGGTACGACCAGTCCAACTGATGAAGCTACCATGTAGCGAAACGCCGCGTTTTGAATTAAATTTATTGTGAAAATTGTGTAATATTCATTATGGAAAGTGCTATTAGCTTCCTTCAAAAAACGGGTGTATTCGTAATACTAAATTCGCAACATTAGGTTCTCGCTGAAGACTATGATATTGTGGGATTAACAGAAACATGGATGCACACAGCTATTGACAGCAGTAAGTAAGTTCTGCTTCTTATATATTTTTATGCAAAGATAGGTTATCCAGAGGCGGAGGGCTAGACTTAATAATTACAAATATTGATAAAGTTTATAAAATAAATGTTACATACAATGATCTTTCAGATCATGCATTGACAGAGGCTCAATTTTCCTTTGAAATTGAACCCAAGATAAAAAAACCAAAAGATAACTTATAGAAACATTAGCCATATTGATATTGACAGATTCAGTGATGATTTAATAAACCAACCTTGGCATTCACTATTTGAAACTGTATATATAGATGTTAAATTAAATCTCATGAATGATTTAATTTCAAAAACTCTTATCATTCACCAAAAAAAACTATCTTTTTGAAGAAGCAAAATTAAACTCCTTGGATCACAGAGAACATAAGATTTATGCAGAAATTGAGAGACAAAGCATTAACTCGGTTCAAGAAGTCAAAACTAGCACACCAGTGGGATTACTATAAACAACTGAGGAATTATACTAATACAGCTATACATAACGAGAAAAGGGCATACTTAAACTACAAACTACGTAATACTGATAGTAAGGGAGATGGCAGGGACTTAAGGAATTAAAAGTTGCGAAAAGTAAAAATAAAGAACTCCCTGAAAACTTGAAATATGTAGAAGCTATTAGCGATTTTATTTCGACTATGTCTCAAAGAGATATCCCACCGTATGAAGACTTACTGCGCTTTTATGACACGAACAGAAAAGAAGGTATATGTGATCAATTCATTTTTTCACCAAGTATTGGAGATGAAATCTTTAACATCATAAATAGCATAAAATCAGAAGCATATGGGGTAGATGAAATCAATATTAGTGTTATAAAAATTTGTTGTCTTTTCATTATAACGGTACTGACTCACATAATTAACGAATGCATAAGTTATTTTCGTGATGCATGGAAACGTGCAAAAAATAATCAACCACAAAATTTTTATGATTTAAGGTCAATAAGTATTCTCCCGACATGTTCCAAAATTATAGAGAAAGTAATGGAAAACCAAATGCGCCATTTAATTAATCGTTACAATATTTTGCCACATAAACAGTCAAGTTTTAGAAAAGGTTATAGTTGTGCAACAGCATTATTAGAGATCGTAGATGACATAATATACTCAATATACAGAATACAGTACAGTGTAATACACAATGTAATCTCCTGATGACGCCAATTTGATTCGTGAAACAAGCGCTAAGAAGAGTATGGCAGTTCTGGTGTGTGAAATATTTTTGTTTTGGATTCATAATTCACTATTGACCAGGTAATCAGTACCAAATAGTTGTCAATGTTACGAAGAAATTTGATAAATAGAAGTAGAAATTTATTCAAAACAGCAACGTTCCTTCACTTTACAGATATTCAGAGTGTCAACAAAAATAAAGTAAATCAGAAACTTTGACTTGAAAGCTCATATTTCAATACTGCACTCATGCTTTCATCAAATGGCTGGACTGATGACGAGCTAAATGATCCTTTCTCCTGAAACTAGCATTACACAAATCGCAGGTGAATTTCCTGATATGTCTTTGACATTCATATTTCAAATGCCTATACAGAGATGTTTGATGTTTGTACACCCTATCGCAGTTTTTACAAAAAAACTCTTTTTCAAAACCTGAAAAATATTTTCATTCAGTAAATATTGAATGGTTATTACTCTGGAACAACAATCACTAGTTCCCATACAAGTCATAAAAAGAATTGGGTACTTATCATTATTATAACTACATGGTGGCAATACAAACCATAGGAAATGTATTCCTCAGTAAAATATTTCGTTGGAATAAAGTCATGTATTTATGGGTTGGAAGAGTGGAAAAACTTTTGATGGAGGCAGGGCCGTCGTCACAAGGGGGATGGGGGGGGCGCCTCCCCCCCTTCTTTTTTGACTTGGAAAAAAGTTGGGAAATTTTTGGCCGTGAAGATAGAAAAAAATAATAGTAAAAAAATGAATGAAAATTAAAAAAAATAAGTAATAAGGTAATAAGAAAAGGGAAACAACCAGGACAAGGTTGGGATTTCCCAACATGCATAACTTGGAGATCTCAAACTTTAAAATTCTGAGTTGTTTGAAAACTTCAAAAAAGTTTAATTTCTCCCAAGTAAGAGAACAGTCCTGAACAATCCACAAATTTTGAAGTGACAATTTTACAAAATTCACAACTTTTCGCTGTTTATTCGACTTGGAAAAGATGGGAAATTTCGCGCCGTGAAGATAGAAAAAATAATAGTAGAAAACAATACGCACACTATTATTTAAATGTTGTTCCCTTTCATTTGTATTGAATATTCCTATACATGGTGGATATGGTGGAAGACCAAGGATCTTGGTCTTCCACCAAAGTAGAATAATTCCCATTATTATTTTTATAATTACCAAAATGTATTTTTGTTTGTGCATACCCTAACGGACATAAGCATTCAGCCAATCTTTGGGTAGCTAAGTAAGAAAATTAATATATTATAGTAGTACCTAATCCCTCGGCTTTCATTTTTTCGAAAGTT